TTCTCCACTCTCATCAAAACCTTCACTTATCCTTCTCATCAATGGGCTAAGTATTGCTATAATAAAATTTCCATCATCAAGAATTTCCATTGATGAACATTCATGATTACAGTCTCTGTTGTATTCATCTACAGCATCTTTTAAAGATATCATCATAGCATCTCCATGAGAGGATCCAAAGTGTTTTTTGAATGTCTTATAATATTGGTAATAAACCCACTCAGGATCTGGGAGTTCTCCTCGATCTCCTGCACAAACATAATAATTGCTACCTTTGTCAATATATAGCTGTTTTTTTAATGTGAGAAGAGCTTTTGATGGCGATTTCCCTTCTTCAAATAACTTCAATATTTGCTCTTTAACTTCATCAGATGGAATTCTGTACTTTAAAACATCTGCACACATCAGCTTATGGTTATGAATATGTCTCATTACAACAACAGCCTTTGATGTGGGTTTATCATATGGAGCACTAATTCAAAAACAAATAAAGTGGGACAATATGTAATGGGCACTAGGCGTTAATAATTTTAAATGTTATTGTAAATAATTTTTGAAAATCATTAATACCTAATTTGTTATACATTTTATATTTGTATCTATAAAACAACTCTACAAACAGTGTTTTAGTTATCAGGTTTCTTTGATTAATTTTTAGGATTTAAGAAAAATATACATTAGGTATGGCCGTATAGGTAATATTTTGAGTGAAGCTAATTTTATGTTTAAACGCCCAGGCTATAACATATAATAATACATTTACTTACATTTCATCAAAAGTGTGTTCTATTTGAATTATAAGTGTTGCTACACAAGACAAATGTTTTGCTCTAGGAACTGAATTTTTTTTAGGTCTGGTATTATGATGACATCGGTACCTTTTCTGTAAATACATTTTAATTAAATAAAAATATTCAAATAATACTAATGTAATAATGTTAATGAGAACTTGCCTTAAAAACAACTGAATCTGGCTTTTTACAATTTGTGCTAAGGTATGTTGTTTTACATTTGCGTCTCATTTCTAACATCCAATTGGTAACATCAGAGACATCAAAATTCAAAATTTCAAACTTAGCTATAAATTTCCCATCACTTAAATTTTTCTTGGTTAGTATATTATAATTATAACCATCAGGTATTTGTTCCTATTGTAAAAATATAGCTATTTTACAGATATTTAGTTGACTAGTTGAGCTACAGAAAATGTTTTATGGATATACATTTGATGTAGTTACTGCCATAGGCGCACATTGGGTGTGAATTAAGGGGGTTCTGGGATAATTTATGGTTCACAGATCCGTGGGGGGCTTCGCCCCCCCATACCCTCTAATCCTAATATTTCTGCATTGCATAAGATTTAATTTGTATAGTGTATACAATAATTTCTAAAGTGCAATGTATCAAATAGTCTGCATGATTGTAAAGAAGACGCTAGGTACACCCACATGTGTTGTCTCCGTATTACAGACGTAGGTACAACATAGGCAAAACTGTTTTGCACGGGTATAAAAAACATTCAGGCTCTACTCTAAGCTAAGAAACTAAATGTTCACACTATAAAAATGAGAAAATTTACTCTGTAACTATATCAAAACTATATCAAAAACTATATCAAAACCAAAATAAAAGTTATTTAAGTTTGATAAACAAAAAAAGGTGCTCTGCTGTACAGTAGGGTACAACTGTACAAGTGGGTCACTGTATAATCGATGGTATTAAATTTGAATTCAATGATATACTAACATCATTGTATAAGAAAAACGATTCTGAGCGAAGACGGTTAGTCAGCCTATGATATTACTAAGTATATTTGATGATACTAAGGTGAATAAAGCAATTTATATATAACCTATTTACGTAGAATCTTGTTTTAAATTTTCAATCATTAGCTATAAAAGTTGATCATTTTATAAATTTTTAACTATAAAATTATTATTAAATTTTAAATGTGATAAATTTTGTCAAAATTTGAATTTTAAATAATTATTAAAAAAAATTGTGCCTATGTATTTTTAATATTTTTCAAGTGTTATTGTAACAATATATCAGTAGCTTTGCATTAAATTTTCAAGCTTTTTTACCATAAAAATAAAATTTTATTGATATGAATAGAATAAAAAATTAAAATATTGAAAACTGAAAATGTCCGTAAATAGCTCAAAAAGAATCAAAATATTTTCAAAACTATATGGTGTATAGGAAATGCTAATATAAAAATTTAGTAAAATTTTCAAGTATCTAGTCATTCGTTTTTTAATTACAACAAAATTAGAAAATCGTTACATGAGAAATCGAGTGAATATCAAATGTTGTAAAAATATGAATTTCAAACGTTCATAAAAATTTAATTTGAGATTCTTGTAGACATTTTTTTTTTTTTGATAAAGGTAGACAAACTCATGAGAAATCTTGCAATACATTTTCATATCTTAGATTTAAAAAGAAATTTTTTTATGAATTTCTAACTCGAAATAATTTGCAAATTTTCGTCATTTTCACGTATTTTGTCAATATTTGGAGTTTAAATGCTTATAACAATTTTACCCCCCCAAAGTACCAACTAGATTCACTTTCCTATCAGAAAAGATACTGTTGAAGAAAATCCAAGCACTTTTACTGTCCTAAAAGATGATGACGGACAAAAAAAAAAATGAATTCGTGAATTCGTAAACAGTTGTCAATATTTGTATTGAAAAGAAAAATTCCGAACCAATAAACCACGATAGTTTATAAATGATTGGTGAAATACTGAAATAAACTGAGGGTGCTAGTTTGAAGCTTGGGGGTGCTAAGCACCCCCAAGCACCCCCCTATGTGCGCCTATGGTTACTGCATGTATGTATACTATAACAATATTTATTTTTATAATAATATTATTGATGTTTTATATTACCATTAATGCAATATTACTGCTTGTATATACCATTGCTTTTTTAGGTTCAGAAGGTTTTAAGTTTGCTGAAGGCTAAAATTTAAATTATTTTTAATTTTACTATTTTTCTTATTAAAATGAATACCACCACATTTACCTTGGGGTGTAATAAAATATTTGATTTTAGATTAAGACTCATATTAGAAATCTGAGTTTCTGTAAATCCATGAACTGCTCTTAAATGTCGATTCAAGTTCTTTTTTTTGACATTCAAACAACAGTCTTGTTTTTCAAAAGATTCAATACATTCGGGTACAGAAATAGGTGGCTTATCTGCAATTTGATGCTTATTTTTTCTATGCCTTGACAGAGTATAGCTATACTTAAAACTGGCATCACACTCTTTACAAACAAACAACTAAACAATGGAAGTAAAAAATAAGATTTACCTTTCACCAATATTTCAATTATTACAATAATGTCTTTAATCATCATTCAGAACATGAATAAAAATATTAATTATCTTTTCTACAATATCCAAATCTTAACAAAGACATTCGACCTTTTCACAAATTATAACATACTAAAATTTATAAAATAATATCATAGCTACTTGTAAAATTAATATATTTTCCAAGATATTAATTAATAGTTTATTTTTTGTTTTCTTGATTAAAAAAACAACTAAGATATTTTAACTATAGGTGTAGAAAAGTTATAAAAGTTAATAAAGACATTAAAAAAAGAAAAAACAATTCTATTGCACATAAAGTTTGTTTATTAGACATAATATATTTGTTAGTGACATACGTATATTTATATTCTAAATGGTCAGTACTATAAGTGTCTAAGTCTAAACATTAAATTACATTACCAATATTTTTCTACATTTATATCATAGGTAGTCATAAGCATTTTTAATCTTTAAATGTATTGACAATAAATATTAATACTTAAAAATAATCATAAATATTAAATTAAAATTAAATTACAGTCATATGTTAATATTTCAAGATAAATAATCTAACATAAAACTAGAAAACATAAATAATACATAAAACTAGGATATACTGTTGTAATATACTGAATGTAATCTAGATAATAAAAAAACCATAAAATCAAAATTGTACATTAATTTTGTTCATTGGTTAGGTACACATTATTTAGTAACATAAATTGTATAATCTAAATGGTTAATGAATAATGACACAGTTAAATAATAATACCTGTGATTTTTTTGCTAAGTCCATAATTAAATAAGTACTTAGTACTATATAGACATATAGTGTACAGTATTTTTGACAGTATATATTTATATAAAATATAAATGAATAAATTGAAATGAATAAATGAATAAATGAGGAATAAAGTTTACATATATTACAGAGTCAGACTACAGTTATTACTTATTATAGTATATTTATTATCCCTGTATATAATAGGTATTATAACATTTGTTATTTACATAATATGTAAATATATTATATATGTATATGACATATTATACATATAAATAAACTTATAGTCTTATCACAATATCGCAGTCTAATCTCGCAAAGGTATGAAATGTGCATGAACATTAGAGGAAGGACGCCGAACACAGCAGAACGAAGCGTAAAAACATGGTCCGGAATTATCGCATTCCGCCAGAATGCGCGTCGGACCGTAATGATGTCGTTTTTACATATTGTATAGCACAGGACATTTAATGGTTTTTTATTATTATAATCTAAATGGTGAAATTTATGAATAATTACTATAGAACATTTTTTTAAAACCAAATTGCCCTCGATCGAATATAAGTGTTTCCAATAATATACGACTTTTATAAAAAGAGATAACAACTATATCTTTTTTTATAAAAGTCGTATATTATTGGAAACACACATATTCGATCGAGGGCAATTTGGTTTTAAAAAAATGTTCTATAGTAATTATTCATAAGTTAAACCATTTAGAATATAATATTAAAAAACCAATAAATTCCCTATGCTGTACATGTAAAAACGACATCATTACGGTCCGACGCGCATTCTGGCGGAATGCGATAATTCCGGACCACTTTTATATACACAGTTCGGCGTCCTTCCTCTAATGTTCATGGAAATGTGATTTGGCTTAAATAATGATAACGGCATATCGAGGAGCCACCGTGACACGATTTAAAATTACGCTTCCGGCTCAACGTCAACCAGCACAGCAAAGTGTTACCCGGCCTACTCCACAAGGTCATATTCAGATTGCTCCTGGAATATTTGTCCCAGATGTTCCGGCCGGTGGATCGAATGCGGCATCCGACGACGATATTATTTGTATGAAGGCAATGGACGAATTTGAGAATACAGGTTAGTTTTATTTATAAGAATTAATTAGATTTTTAAAAGACCTGCTGATTTTTCCTCCGTAGATTATTTTTTTTGAAAATTATTATCGTAAGATTTAAAAAAGATTTTTGAAATACGTGACATTAAATTATTTGTAAATGTCACAAGTTAAAAAGATAAATAGCTGTTTCATTAGATTTTATTTATCAGTCGTGGGGTTAATTAGATTTTTAATAGATTAGTCAATTTATTATTTTCATTAGATATTAATATTAGGTTTTTTTTTTTTTTTTTTTTAAAGATTCTTTTACTACCAACGTTAACGGGAAACGGGTTTCCTCTGCCAACACCACGTCGGCTGCTAGGGCGAAAAAAGCGCACATGAGCCTAGTACAGTCCCCCGGTTTCGTTGAGATTTCGTCCTCAGCAAATAGAAAAATTGTATGGTACTATGCCAAAAATGTTTATAATACAATGATTTATACCGAGTTTCTTCGATCGCTCGAACCCGAGCTAAATAAAATATTGAAAACACGCGTTCAGCAAGGGGCGATTAAATTTAACCTTAAGCTCGAGGCGACCTATAACCGGGTCAACGTACCAAACTCGTCGGAGAACCGAGCGTTTAAAACAACAGCAACCGAAATTTATCCGGATAGTGATATCGACTCAATAGTAGAACAAGCGTTCGTGAAATTATTAGCTGAGGAAGACGCTTATGTTTCTCGCGGTAGTGGCTTTACTTTGGAAGCCATAGACGGCTTATTATTGGGAATATATAACTACACACCAATGACTGGGTCGTCATATATTGAATTACCAGCATACATCGACAGGAAACGGGGCACCATCAACCCACAAAACAATGACCAGCAATGTTTCAAGTGGGCGATTCTTGCGAGGCATGTGGTCGATAATTTATCGGATAAATATAAATATTGTGTCGGTAAAAACTATACACAACACGAAGCAAAATATAATTTTGATGATATTTCGTTTCCAACACCACTATCGGATATTTCTAAATTTGAAAAAAATAATCCGAACGTCACTGTGAATGTGTATGGGTTGGACAAAAAGTTCCAGCCGCCGCGTAAATATCCGACGTACGAGGTGTACCCGCTACGTGTCGTTGATGAGGAGAAAACCAACCACTTTGATCTGTTGTTGGTGACGGACGGCGACAACTCTCACTACGTGTATATATCGAATTTTTCCAGGCTGGTCCGCGCTCAGAAAACCAGACACACTGGGAGTGTCGTGTTCTGTAAGAGATGTTTTACGAGTTTCGACGACAGACGTCATAAATTCAAGTTGAGTGGGCAGGAGGCCCTGGACCAACACAAATTGATTTGCGGCGCGCACAAACCAATTTTACCAGAGATGCCTAAGGAGGGTGATTGTGCTGAGTTCAAGGCGTGGAAAAACACGGTTAGGCACCCGTTTGTCATTTACGCGGATTTTGAGGCGATCTTGACGAAGACGGAGGAGGCAAGAGGGGGTAGTACCACGATTACTCAGAAACACGAAGCTATGAGTTATGGGTTTTTGGTGAAAGCGAGCGATGACGTACCGGCAGAGTTATTGCTTCAACACCAGATACCGGCGGGGCCGGTAATCTACAGAGGCAGCGAAGACAGGACGGACGTAGCGAGACATTTTGTGGAGGCGATAGTTGAGGTGGCCCAGAAAATTGAAAATCTCATGAAGACGAATATTCCGTTAAAAATGGCTGAGGGTGAAGAAAAAACACATCAAGAGTGTATTAAGTGTAATTTATGCAAATGTATATTAGTCGGGGGCGATAAGGTTAGGGATCATGATCATTTGACAGGCAAATTTAGGCAGACCTTGTGCTCTAGGTGTAACTTAGAGTTGCAACAGCCTAAATTTGTACCTGTCTTTTTTCATAATCTCACAAACTACGACTCGCACTTCATAATCACTGAACTTGGGTATGATACTAAGACTATCAACGTTATACCGAACAGTGAAGAGAAATATATATCTTTTTCGAAATATATAAGTAGTACCTTCACTGTTCGGTTTATCGACACGTTTCGGTTTATGGCGTCGAGTCTGTCGTCCCTGGCTGAAAATTTGCTTACACCCGAACATGAGAAATTCCGTGAGACAGCCAAACATTTTGTCACCGGAGATATGCCGCTCGTGACTCGTAAGGGGGTGTACCCGTACGAGTACACGGATAGTTGGGAGTGGCTAGAGGATACTAGGTTACCGAGTAAGAGGAGCTTTTACAGTACGTTAACAGAGACCGGGATTAAGGAGAGCGAATTTGACCATGCTAAGGAGGTATGTATACACTTCGCACGTATTTAGATCTATATTTGAAAATTGTTGTGTGTTACAGGTATGGAGTCATTTTAACTGTAGGACGCTCGGTGATTATTCCGACCTGTACCTGAAAATTGACGTGTTACTGCTGGCGGATGTTTTTGAGAACTTCCGCGACTTGTGTATGAAGACGTATAACCTGGACGCCGCCCATTATTTCACCGCCCCAGGCTTAAGTTTCGATGCGATGCTTAAGTTCACGGGGCAAAAGCTCCAGTTATTGCATGATTACGACATGTTGTTGATGTTCGAAAATGGTCAGTATATTATTTTTTAAATGTGTATTTAATAATCTTATATATTTGTTATAGGTATACGTGGGGGATTGGTGCAGGCGAGCAAGCGATATGCGATGGCGAACAATGTAAAGACTCCGGGGTATGACGAAACGAAGGAGAAATCGTGGATCATATATCTGTGAGTATATTTTTTTCAAAACTTTTTAATATTTTTCTTACTTAATAATATTTTTTAAATTTTATAGGTAACAACTTGTACGGGTGGGCAATGTCTCAGTACAAGCCGTACGGTGGGTTCAACTGGGTTGAACCTACATTGAATGGGTTGAACGATTTAGACGACACTTCACCCATAGGACGAGTGTATGAGGTGGACGTGTCGTATCCAAGACACTTGCATAACGGACATAACGACCTGCCTTTCCTGCCGCAAAACAGCGTGCCTCGAGGCTCGAAGGTTAGGAAGTTGATGGCGACATTTGAGAAAAAGGAGAATTACATCGTACATTATAGGAACCTACAGCAGGCCATTAAGAATGGTTTGATAGTTGAAAAAGTAAATATTTGTATTTTATATGATTTTAAACAGATTTTTAACATTTCTCTTATTTTGTATAGGTACATAGAGTGATACAGTTTAACCAGTCAGATTGGTTGGCTAAATATATAGATTTAAACACCGAAATGAGGAAAAAGGCTAGGAACGCATTTGAGAAAGACTTCTTTAAATTGATGAATAACGCTGTATTTGGTAGGTTACTTTTAAATTTTTAAAACTTTTAAAACTTTTTAAAAATTTACTATTGTGCAGGAAAAACTATGGAATCGAAACGAAAACAGCTGAAAATAGAGTTGGTATCCTGTGAGAGGAGGTTACAGAAATGTATTAATAAAACTACTTTTAAACACTGCACTAATTACAATGAAAACCTCAATGCAGTAGCGTTGGAGAATAAGATAATTAAATTTGACAAACCTATATATATTGGTAAATATACTTTTAAATTATATTGCTAAATATACTTTTAAATTATATAATACATTTATTTTCTATAGGATTTTCAGTGCTGGATATCAGTAAGACGTTGATGTATGACTATCACTACAATGTTATGCAGAAGCACTATAGGGATAAAATTAAGCTAATGTATACTGATACAGGTAAATATATTAAAACTTATCTAATTTTCATATATTATATTTATTTTTATTTTTAGATTCGTTGATATACCATATTAAAACTACTGATTTTTATGAAGACTTGGCAGCTAATCACAGCTTGTTGGATCGAATGGATACAGCTAACCTACCCAGTGATCATCCATGTTATGTTGCAGTTAGAAAGAAGGAACCTGGGTACTTCTCAGATGAAGTAGATGCTGATATAATCACCGAATTTTGTGCATTGAGGGCAAAGTCCTACGCTTTTAATGTATATGCAGGAGAAGAGGATGCGGTGAGAGATAAGGACGACAAGGATAAAGTTGGTGGTGAAAAAATTAAAGCAAAGGGGATAAGGCAGCATGTGGTTAAGAACCACATGACATTGGAAGACCACAAGAAATGTTTATTTGGAGAAGCTGGCGTGGAGGCGTATAAGGATAACGTGTCAATACGGTCATTCAAACATCAACTCATGACGATTAAGACGAAAAAATTAGCATATAACAGCTATGATGATAAGAGGTTGGTGCTGCAAGATAAAGTACACACACTGGCCCATGGACATTATAGTATAGAGTAAGTTATTACAAAATATATATTTAAATTATTTTACTAACATTTTCTCTTAATTTTACAGGGAAGATGAACCAGAGGATGATTGGCCGGAATTAGATTTTATGGGGGGGAACTGGAACGAGGAAGAGAAAGGCTTAATGAGAGACCTTCTACAGTGCCTAACCTAAGTTTATATACTGTACATTTTTTTTTTTGTTATATATATATATTGATTATTGTAAATATTACTCTATTAACTGTTATATTATATTGATTAATGTAAATAACTTGTAAATATTATCCTAATAATTGTTATATAATGTAAATACTTGATAATAAATTATTGTGTAATTTGTAAAATATTAGATTAGTGTATAAATTTGTAGTATTAACACCTTTATAATGTATACTTTGTAAATATCCATGTAAATGTATAATTTTTATATTGTATAATTTGTAAATACTCTGTAAATATTATCCTATTAATTGTTATATAATGTAAATACTTGTTAATAAATTATTGTGTAATTTGTAAATATTTTTGTAAAATACGAGTATTAGATTAGTGTATAAATTTGTAGTATTAACACCTTTATAAATATCCATGTAAATGTATAATTTTTATATTGTATAATTTGTAAATACTCTGTAAATATACCGTATGCTTTTGCTAGATATGTAAGTTAGTTTACAATGTTTTCTTATAATATTTTTTTTTTTTTTGTATAAATGTTCATGTTTTTCTGTTTCAGGTAGATGGAAGTCAATATATTTAATTAAAAAACCTTGTAAATGGTAACATATATAAATGTATGTATATATGTTAGCATATAAATAAAAAACAATGTTAAAATATAATATTATTATATTTATTAAATAAAATGTATACAAAAAACTTTAAGAATTATTTATAAACCATTTTCTTATAGCAAAAACTTTATAAAATGTACATTGCTTAGGATTAAATTCCATATGAAAAATACAGCAAGGGAGAGTTTCGTCATCACATATTTGATCCAAACGAGGGCAGCCTAAGTCTTCAATGTTGATGAGTGCATGTGTTGTACTCGTTAATCAATGAAGGTAAAATTGATATCCATTCGTGTGAACCGCGTGCCGTAAACTCTCTAAACATTTTTTTCTTTCAATGTGCGGTTGAAACGTTCGATAATGCATGCTTTCATGATGCTAAACGTTGAATTTTTGTGTATGTTATGCTTTTTCATCAATGCGTCGAATGTAGCATTGTAAAATTCTTTACCATTATCGAGCTGTAATAGTTTTGGTGTGCGTGTGAGCAGTATTTTAGACATTGCATTTGAAACTTCTATAGCAGTTTTAGATTTTAATTCTATGGCCCAAGCAAACTTTGTAAAACAGTCTATGACGCACAAAATATACTTGTACCCCTTGTTTTGTTTTGAATATGGTATCATTTCGACCAAGTCGGCCTGCCACAGATCGTTTTTGCCATAAACATTAACTCTACGTCTTGTATAATTTTTTCTAACAGGTTTGTGTAGTTCGTTCGCAATTTCGCGTTTAGACATTTGGAATACGTTTTATTATACCCGCTTCTTGCAGTTCTTCAAAAATGGATATTATTTCGTTCGAAACACCTGTATTACCAGCCGCTTTTGACGCTAATAGTAACCGCAATCTATCGACTAGTTCGTTAGGATCGTTCCAGTAAACTAAACTATGTTTTTGTAATTTCAAAGATAGACCTCTACCCGCTAGAAATAAATTTTGGATTATATCATAATATTTATTTCCACCTTTTTAAATTTCTTTTCCATCTGTTTTTAGATGCGCTGATGTTTGAATTAATATAGATTTATATGATTCTAAATCATGTTTGGTGTAGAATTTTGGAGATTTTGAAAACACTAAATTACCAAGCCCTTGTGTTAACGGGTATGAAGTATCTTCAATAATCAATTTATTCCCGACAAGATTAATTTCTTTTTTCCCCAAATATACACTTCCGTTTGATCGTATTTTTGGTCCATACGTTTTGTCTATATCGTAAGACTTAAACCAGTCGTTTATTTTAAAATCTGACGAATCGTCTGTATTGTTTATTTCAAAATATTGAGAATCTTGAGAGTCTTTTCCAAGTTCCGTGGGTGGGTTTTGAAATGTTGCAGGATTTAAATGTTTTATTTCGTTTAATGGTTCGATAATCGGACTTAATGTTTCTGATACTATTGAGTGAATATCAGCTTTTCCGTGTTTTAATGCTTCATACTTGCGTTTAATATTTTCTTTGGCTTTAATCAATTCTCCGAGTACCTCACCGTTAGAAGCCATGTCTGTGAATGTGGTGTTTTCATAAAAACAACACTTTATATAACGACGAATGTGTCAAATCCGAGGCGATATCGACCATTGTCACGTTCACAGTCTTTGTTTATTACGATAAACTCGAATCTCCCCCGACTCCAACACGATGTACTAAAGTATTTAAACTCTGAATATGACATATCACCAGAGCAATGCTCATTGTATACATGCTTTAAATTAGTTTCGTCTTGTTTAAATAACACAATAAAATTAGCGTAATCACGCAAAAGTTGTTTTGGCACTTTTGAATAACTCTGAGCCAGGTAGCAAACGTCTATTAAATTATGTCTAGCTCTGGAAAAGTAAGTTCTTGCAATATTTTGGTTTTCAGAAATAATATCGTCAAAAATAAATACAGAGTTTGGTAAAGCTTCTTCAGGTGCTATAACTTTTTCATTTTCGTAGAACGTGAATAATTGTATTCCATCAATGTCTGATAATATATCGCTAAGCATTTTATATTTAGGCTGATCCAATGTTTTCGAATATATGTATACGTTTTGAAATCGTATTCCGTTTATATTGGTTAATAATGTGTAAATTAAATTTGTTTTTCCGCAGCCAGAAGGGCCCACGATAAGCGCGCGTATCGTATTTGGTAGAAGCGCTCCGTGTCTGTGTTTTTGATCTGATGTAGGCGGGTCCACGTTTTCAACTGTTAGTTTTATTTCTTGTTTGATG